ATTGCTAATTTCGTTGACAATTTGTGTGGAAGTCATAAATGGATTTTTCTCAGCAATCCGCAAAATAGTTTTATCAAGTCTTGTTGTTTTTCTAGGCCTTCCTGTATTTTTTGTTTTTTTTTGACAATCCTGTTTCTTGAAATTTTTTCACAATACGTGATATAACGGACTTGTTTAATAACAAACTTTGGGCAATCCGAACTTGTTTTTCCCCATTTAAAAATCGTCGAATAATAATATCCCTAACTTTGGGAGACACAGTTTTACCACGACCCAGTTTTACCGATAAATATGCTTTATTACTGCGTTTTCATTTCGCCAAAATGTCTGAACCCGATTGAATATTATCTTTACAAAAAATAGTTTAAAATGTATTTCCATTTGACGATAGTGTATGTCTTGTGTGTGATAAAAAATTGTATAAATAGTAAACAAATAACTAAGTGAAATACAATAATAATAAATTATAAACTTACTTGGGAATTTAAGTATTCAATAAAATTTTCGAGAATATTAAAAGTTGCTATAATTTTGGCCACTACTGTATATATTTGAAGGCATGAGTATTTTAATAAGAGTAAAACTGGTCTAGATAAAACCGGCAAAATGAAAAATGTCGGTAACATTCGTTTCATAATTAGACGTTTAATATACATTAAGCTAAAAGTTCTGCCAGACCGAGACATCTAACATTAAAATTTTAAAATTTGTTCAGGCAGTGACAAATTAAACTGCATATTTAGAGGTACACAGTGCAAAAAATGCAGAAATCCAGTATATGTTTACAACTTGAAGTAAAATTCTCTAAACTGAGTAACCAGGCTGCTTTAATTAGAATTTCTCATACGTTGTAGTCGACAAAGCTATTACCCCGACTAGATTCAATTAATGTTAGAAATCCTTTGAATATCAGTTCTCTCAATCTCATTAGAATTTCTTGCATGCCATAGTTATTAATGCGATGCTTGTTTAGTTCGAGCAACAAAGTGTATTCATTTAAAGGACAAATAGGTCACAATCTATACTGATATATAAAATCCTTAAGTGACTGACTCACTGATTAATCATCATCCTGCTCAAACCACTCAACGTAAGAAGCTCAATTTCGGCATACAGGTTCATTCTAGGGTGTAGAGGTTCGATAAGAAGGGATTTTTCGAAATTTCAGTTCCAAGGGGGTGAAATCACCCCTCAAATATTACAATATTTTTTATTTAAAAAACGGTCAAGTTTCCGAAAAAAACGCTTAAACACGTATATTTTATTTCGTTTTTTTACATATTTTAAGATTTTTTAAAAATGTGTACAGTGTGTCCCATTTTGGTTGAAATTATAGGGTATCTCCGTTATTAGTGAAGATAGAAGGGTGCGGTTTGCACAAACCTGTCCCACTTTGTCGTCAAACGGAAGATGCTGCAAACAAAATTTTCATAGCCCTCTTCATTTCTGAGCTGCAGGGTCTTTTCAAAAATTTTGCAATTTGGGACACCCCTTGTATCTCTATTATTGTTAAAGGTATCGAGAAGGCGAAAACTGCTTATTGTAGAACTTTTTACGTAGAATACAGTGGCGTAGTCTGTTTTTCTACCAAAAAAATATTTTTAAAAATATGAACTAAAGTTATGTTTTTTCAAATGGAACACCCTGTATATTTATAAATCATATGATCTGTGTTGCTACGAGCTTCTCAAAAATATATATCACTCTATATTTATTTTCACTATTTACTGCAATATTTAAAATATATCATTTTCTTATTAGTAGGCCGTGATAAATAACAAAAAATCAAAATGGTATTTACTAAAATAGTCATACACATATTAAAATTTATTTGGGATTTATATATTTTACTTTTGAAATAACTGTTACCACTGAAACTGTGAATATATTTTTCTTTTTTTTTTATAACAGGATGGGTTTGCAAATATCTAAATTTTGAATTATTAAAGCATTTTTCAGGTGTTCGACATTGTTGTAGTGCCCACGATATATTTCGTATTTCAAAAATCCCCAAAATCAGAAATCGAGAACGGCGAAATCCGGGAATCGAGGAGACTATCAATATGCGTTCATTGGTTCCAATTCATTGATTTGAAAAATAATAATTTAACAGTATTCTAATATTTCCATAGTTATGAGGGGGAATGTTCCTCATCTTGCTGAAAGTATATTTCACGTAAATTAGCTAAAGGAATATCTAAAATTTCCGATACGATAGATAATTCTTACGTATACGCGTATTCCAAGATTTACAAATAGCGGTAGAGAGTTAAGTTTCTGTGGGATGTAGAAGTTCGATAAGGAGGGGTTTCTCGAATCTCAAATTCCAAGAGGGTGAAATCGCCCCTCAAATATTACAATATTTGTTATTTAAAAAACGGTTAGTCTTTCGGGAAAACGCTTGGACACGCATAATTTATTTTGTTTTTTTACATATTTTATTTTTTTAAATCATACAGGTTGTTCCAAAAAGTTGGATAATCGATTAACCACGATTCTACTTAAACTGCTTGACGTAAAAAGCTAATTTTTGGAAAATATCACCATTACAAATTCGACGCGAACGAAGTCGCGGGTACACGCTAGTATTGTTTATAATGTAAGGTTTGCCGTAATTATAAAATTACTTAATGCACATTACTTTTTCTCTTTTACTTTCTCTACAAACTCTTTTAAAAGTGTTGATATTTTTTATGAAATACCGACAAATTTTATCTATTGAATACTTTTATTCTTATTTTAGAAAAAAAAACATAAAGTTGTAAAAATGTTTCTGTAACAATCTAAAAATGGGAAAAGATATTGATCCAAAAGAAGAAAAAAGATCTCAAAGTCTCGGTCTCAACATTTATTACTAAAAAGATATCTTCCGAAAAAAGCAAGCTATAAAAAAATATACTCCTTCGGATATTCTTATGTCAATAAAAACCTAAATAAATGACACCCTAAAATACGAAGAGAAAGTCACCTAGTATGATTCAAAGAAGAAAATGTGGCTGCAAAATGGTCACGTACTATCCGGGACAACTGACCATAAGCGAGAAAAAATAAAGAAGCACAAGTCCGCCCACATCCGCAATGGTACCTTGTTACGGTTTAGATATTTCACGCGTCAATGAACTAAAAAGATAAAAGTTTTTGCACCAAGAAACTACGAAAAATACGCAAGCTATTTTACGATTCTGCTCCAAGAAATCAATTCTAATTTATCCAAGCCAGGAAAATTATTTTATTATATTAATTTATTCAGTAAACGCCGAAGTTTAGTGCTAGGTTTCTACTTCTTCTGAAACCAGCATTATTTATAAGATTAATAGTACACTAAATATAATTTTTCCTCATAGACTATAAACTTCCGAACAGTGAATAGTGAGTGCTACAATGTGTGTTTAAACAGCCAAAAGAAGTTTATAGCGCAGTATAATATAATCCCTAGATATTATACTGTGGTCAGCTGTGGCTGTTCACCGCCAATACAAGTGCAGAAGTGAGGTAACAAATTTTGAAGATATATGACAGGGTTTTTATGACAATTTAATGAGTGTGATTTGGAACATTTACATCTATTCTTATAGTATCAGCAAGTTTCTGTTTTTCATATTTTTAAAGATTTGTTGTAACAGATTGTTCTACACTTACTTTTTATTCAAATATCCAACCAGTATCCTTGATAATACAGTCTACTAAATTAGGTAATATATTTAGTACTACCTGCATGTTTTACAAGCTAATATTGAGATTATGTCATAATATGTCTCTACGGCAAGGATAAGAAATCCTGCTTCGTACAAGCTAATTAACACATGTTTGGCTCATACGAGCATCATCAGACAAAAATACAATAATTAAAGACACACCATACACGTTTACATTTTAAATATTAAAACAACTGTGTCTTTAATTGTATTGTTGTCTGATGATCACGTCAAAATAAAACGCTAAATCACCACAATACACAAAAACGCTTTTACTTTTACACTGGACGCGCGTTTCGCTAACCATATTAGCATTATCAGCAGATGATCAAGACTAGAAACACGTGTCACAATTTAGCTTTTTAGTAATAAATGCTGAGACCGAGACTTTCAGTCTTCTTTCTTCATTTGGATTTATAAACTAGGTCTCTTTGGGAATAATGGACGCCTCTTAAAAGATATTAGCTTATTCGACCATTTCCAATTATGGTGTAGCCGCCCTCACATATTTAGATACTCTGTTTGTAGTTGGGCCCATTGTTGTCTGTTGTTGGCTATGCGGGCCCAAGTTATTCCTCCTAATTTCCTAATATTATGGCCCCTTTTCAGGGTCTTCTTCTAGGTCTCTTAATTCCTCGTGGGTACCATGCTGTAATTTTTGTGATCCATCTGTTGTCCGTTCTTGTTGCCAGGTAACCTTTCTCTTGCTATTTGAGGGATTTGACTCTGTGGATGACATCTATTACCTGGGTCTTTTGTCGTATCCACTCTATTCTTTTACTGTCTGTCTTGGTTATTCCCAGCATATTTCGTTCCGTTGAGCGTTGTGCGACCTGCAATTTTCTTACGATGTCCGTTTTCAGTGTCCAGGTTGTTCATGCATAGGTAGTACACATTCATCGAATCGAACGGTGTGTTTACGTGCTTCAATCATTTTGGTGAATGCCCATCTTGTTACAGAATATCGGAAATAAAATATATCTATTAGGTGTGCCTACACATCCATAGGTAGCCTTGACAAGCCAGAAGGAGATTCTTTTTTCTATTATTCTTAATCTATTCTCTATTCTTAATTATATTCTTAACCTAAAATTTGTCAGATAACAGGTAACGAGTAATATGTAGTTTGAGTCGCATCTTCGTTATGCTCTTCCATTTTGTCCTTGATATAATTACACCAATGTAGTATCCGTGAATCATATTCTCGGCACGACGTTCAGAGCAAAAAAGTGTTTACCTGGCGCTATCTTATCTCCGGCTGGCGGTCATTCTCTGGTATTCATTCCGTTTTGTCGTGTTCGAGGTACGCGTCGCAAAATTAAACGTGAAAAGTATAAGTGAATAAAAGTGTGTGATTTGTTTTTTAAAAAATGCCTAAACGTAAAATTAGTACGGACAAGAAGAATGAAATGAAAAAACTCAACAAAAAACTTAAGAAAATTCAAGAAAAACTAGATCGTCTGGAGTCAAGCGATTCTTCTTCTTCCACATCGTCTAGCGAAATATCAGGTAATTAAGGCCGATTTTGGATTGGTGAGAGTGAAATCGAGCGATTTCAACAATACTCTCGGCAGCATGCGCTCGCCAAACTGCTGAGTAACACGCGTTACTTCATACCAAAAGAGACGGAAATCGCGCGATTTCAATAAGTCTCGGGCAACATGCGTTGCCATTCACAATAATGACTTACGAGTGTCAAAAGACTAAGGGCACCTTGTTTTCAGACTCCCATTCAGAAGTGGAACAAATAAATAGCGAAGAAATACCAAACTCATTACAAGATGCAGACCAGGCAGAAATAAATTTTGATTTTTTCGGCATCAAACCAGTAGACAGGGCACAAGTTGGTGCAGCAATGCACAACGAAATAGCAGTTCGCTGGAGTGCAGTGCTGCAATCTGGCCTAGGCAGTGCACAAAGGAATGAGATTATAGGGAAATACAAAATTCCCGAAAACTGCCTAGAATTACTCCCTCCAAAAACCAATGAGGAAATACAGCCTTGCCTTCCAGAGAGTGTAGCAAAACATGATAACTTTATCACAGCTTTGCAGCTACAACTAGGTCATGGTCTTGCAGCCATCGCCACCGTAATCACCAAAAATCTCACAGTCGCAGAACAAGCTAATGATAACCAAATACTAGGGGAAGCGTGCCAAATAATCGCAAATGTACACAACGCCCTTTCGATCCACAGGAAGTTTAAAATTGTGCCACATTTACATCCTGATTGTGCCCGAGTAGCCAAAGGTATAAAAATGGATGAACACCTATTCGGGAAATACTTTCATGAGGTTTTCAAAACTAATCAAGCATTAAGAAAGTCAAGTTTGCAACTGAAGAAAAGAGCAATTCCTACACCAATTGCTGGGCCTTCTGGCACGCAACAAAAACAGCGCCAGAGTTTAAACTACCAGCACCCCCAATACAAGCGGAAGTTCAAAGAGAGGAGGAGGGAGGAGAAGCCCAAAATGGACAGGAACATACGGAGTCTGCACAAGGATCAGAAACGCTATCGCAGGAACTAGGCAGCCTGAACAAGGTAACTAAATACGCAGGTCGTTTAAGTAAATTTTCACATGCGTGGAAAGCAATTACACAAGACCGCGTAGTTTTAAATTGGGTTCAAGGAATATCTCTCCCTTTTCATACTAAGCCTAAACAACTAAAAGAGCCTAGAATTAATATAACACAAAGCCAGTTTAGAGAATATTCTAATTCTATTAACAACTTACTTAAAATTGGGGCCATTTCAAGGTGCCTACCAAAAAAAGGTCAATTCTTATCTTCTTATTTTTTAAGAAAAAAACCCAACGGTGAAAACAGATTTATTTTAAATCTAAAAAAGCTCAACAACTACTTGGAAGCGCCACATTTCAAATTAGAAGATTATAGAACAGTCTCAAAAATTTTAACTCATAAAAGCTACTTAGCTAAAATTGATCTAAAGGATGCTTATTTCTTACTCTCAATACAAAAGATATATCGGAAATACCTGAGATTTAAATTCGGGAATATTTTGTATGAGTTTAACTCACTCCCATTCGGTCTAAGCTCAGCCCCTTTTATATTTACTAACTTACTTAAACAAGTAATTGGGTACCTTAGGAAATTAAATATTCTGTTAGTATTTTACCTAGGTGACATTTTAATTATCGCTGATACTAAATTAGAATGCATAAAAAATATTAAAATAACAAAGGATTTACTAGAAAATTTAGGATTTATAATAATTAATACAACCAAAAGCGTACTTAAACCACAACAAACAATTACTTTCCTTGGGTTTGCTTTCAACTCCTTAAGCATGGAAATTTCCCTACCAGAGGAAAAAATTCAAAGTATAAAACGTAAAATTAAAGAATTTAAAAGGAAAAATCGATGCACGGTTAGAAATTTTGCACAGCTAATAGGGACACTAGTTGCGGCATGTCCAGCCACAAAATATGGGATTGCACACTTAAAGTTCTTTGAAACACTTAAACATTCAGTCATTCAAAACGACTGTGGAAATTACAACAACAAAATGGAAATTTCTGCTCTCCTAAAAAATAAATTAACTTGGTGGGAAATGAACATAGGCAATCGCCAGGACATTAAGCCGCAACCATTCACATTAGAGATATATTCAGACGCTTCACCGTCGGGGTGGGGTGCTTTTTGCGGTAAAAAATATTTTCATGGGTTTTGGGATAAAAAAGAAACTCAAATGCATATAAATTTTTTAGAAATTAAAGTGGCGTATTACGCATTGAAATCACTAACTAAAAATAAAAATGACATACGTATTCTATTAAGAATCGATAACCAAACTGCCATTTTCTGCATTAACCGAGGCGGCAGCGTCAAGTTTCCTCATCTTAATCACGCTACCAAGCTTATTTGGGACTGGTGTGAAAATAAGAACTTATCGGTATTTGCAAGCTATATTACATCAGCAGAAAATTTTAAGGCCGATAAGGAATCGAGATCAATGTCAATTGACACTGAGTATCAATTAAACAATTATGCTTTTACTGAGATCATTCAAACCTTCGGGAAACCTGAAATAGATTTATTTGCTTCTCGAATTAATAACAAATGCGAGAAATATATTTCTTGGTTTCCCGACCCAAACTCCTACTTAGTTGACGCATTTACAACTTCTTGGAGTATCTATTATTTTTACGCATTCCCGCCGTTTTCGTGCGTGGCACGAGCATTGGAAAAAATCATTCAGGAAAAAGCGCTTGGCATAATGGTTGTTCCAAACTGGCCTTCACAACCATGGTTTCCTATCTTTCAAAAATTGTTATTAAAAAAACCGATATTCTTTAAACCTGACCCTAACCTACTCTTATCTCCTTTTAGAACCAGTCATCCCCTGTTCGAGAAACTTTCACTTGCGGCAGGGATATTATCGGGATCGCTTTTCAAAGAAGAGGAATCCCAGCCACTGCAATACCAACAATAACCAACTCATTATCGGAAGGAACACTAAAACAGTACACTAGCTGTTTTAGAAAATACTGGGAGTTCAGCAGAGTAAAACAATACACGGACCCTTTTTTATACAGTCTAGATAGGTACCTAAAATTTTTAGCACAAATATTAGACAATGGTAGGTCCTATTCTATCATCAACTCATATAGATCTGCTCTAAACCTTATTTTTGCACCAAATGAACAAGATTCAAAATACATTAACAGGTTTATAAAAGGCGTAGCAAACATAAGGCCCCCCAAGCCAAAATACTCCCACACGTGGAATCCGGATTCGGTACTAACAGTTATAAAAAAGTGGCACCCTCTAGACTCGCTAAAATTAGAACAATTAACCCGTAAGCTTGTTTTTCTAATGGCAATCACGTCGGCAACCCTGGTACAAACCTTGTCAAAAATTAAAATCGGGGACATAAATAAAAAAGAAGACAAAATTGAAATAAGAATATCGGAAAAAATCGAAACTTCAAAACCAAATACAAGCCAACCACTCTTACTATTTCCATATTTCAGAGAGGCACCTGAGTTATGCGTGGCGCTTACTATTGACCATTATCTAGAAAAGACCGCACAATATCGAAACAATTACGAAAAATTAATTTTAACTCATAAGAAACCCTTCCACCCAGCGACAACACAAACTATAAGCCGATGGCTTAAAGCGGTTCTCAAATTGGGAGGAATTGATACCACAGTTTTTTCTGGACAGAGTACGCTCCACGCATCGACTTCAGCGGCCTCCAGGAAAGGCCTAAATATTGACCTTATACGACAAACAGCCGGTTGGACCCCATCTTCTAATACGTTCTTCAAATTTTATAATAGACCTTTAATTGAACCCAGAGAGGAATTCGCTAAAATAATTTTAAGTACAGGGAAATAACAGTTGTTTTCCTGTGCTTAAATTTATTATATATACCTACCTAGTAAAGAAATTACATATAGCAACGAAAGTTACTTTCATTACTTATGAGAGGCTGCCTAACTTCTGCGATGGATTAATTTAATTATCAAAGATTTTTGTACGTGTTTAGAATTCTATTATTATATTATTAATAACACTATTAGATTTAATAGGGTTAGTACATACATTTTTCTGTACAAAGACAATATAAAATATGTGTCACAATATAAAAATATGTAAAAAATATGTAAAAATATATAAATATGTGTAATTTACAAAATATTTTATTAAATTAGGATTACTTAGTTCGTTCGTTATCAAGTATTATACATTTACACTATATTCAACTGTTCATATATTAGGTTTTTGTGGTAAATAAATTTTGCAACACTGTAAAATCGCTTTTTTACTCTGAACATCTACATTGGTGTAATTATATCAAGGACAAGCGAAGGAAAATTATAAGATTAATCGAATACCATACTTACCTGTATGAAGATTAATCGTAATTTTCCGAGCTTGTCCGCAGATATAATTACAAACCCACCCACTACCTTTAAATACGCACCCGGAAAAGCGATTTCCTTCACAAACGGAATGAATACCAGAGAATGACCGCCGGCCGGAGATAAGATAGCGCCAGGTAAACACTTTTTTGCTCTGAACGTCGTGCCGAGAATTCAGGGATACTACATTGGTGTAATTATATCTGCGGACAAGCTCGGAAAATTACGATTAATCTTCATACAGGTAAGTATGGTATTCGATTAATCTTATAATTTTATCGTATTTTCAAACTTCAAAAGAGAGCAGTTCGATATTTATTGGGACTGAACAATAAAACTCACTGCCAGAATTTCTTTAAAAATTTCAAAATACTGACTCTTCCTTCCTTATTCATTTTTGAATCCGTCTGCTTAATCCGCAAGCACATAGCTGCTGTTCCGGAAAGGCCATCACACAACTATCCACTTAGGAATGCACGATCTTTATCTGTCAACCCCGAGCTCAGAACTAATTAAAGGCTCAATATGCCAAAAAAAATGTACAATCATTTGCCTTTGAATATCAAGTCGCTTTCATTCCTTTCCCGCATTGCGCAAAGCTCTGAAATCATACTTACTGGAGAGTATATAATAAGTATACTATATGCGGTAAACGACTTTTTTGTTGATGTTTAATCATGAACAATTTTGAATTTTAAAATTTTGATCATCTCACACACTGGTTAAAGGTCTAGTATTTAATATTTTATATTTTATAACTCTTACATGATTTTATCCATTTACAATTATTTTCCTTTTGTAATTTTAATGACGTAATTTTTTTGGAATTGATTTGTATTGTGTGACATTTTTTTATTATATTTATAATTATTTTTATTGTATATTTGTTTGTTTTGTAAATGCTTTGTAGATGAAGCTATTTTGGCTTTTTGTACAATAAAGCGTTGTTTATTAGAATGTATATTCAAATAAAAATGTTTCTTGCAATAAGCTATAAACTTATCTTTGGTTTTGTCTTCTATGCGAGTAAACAACCATAATAATATAACCAGTTCTTTCATTTCTCCTTTTTTTGCGAACAACCTCATAAACATATGCAACTAAATCCGGATTCGGCTTTTTATCAAATCAACCTCTCGTTCAATTTTCTCACGATTGTCAGTGACAAAATCAAACGTCTAATACGGTAGTATACGGAAAAAATCATATTACAATTGATCATCTAAATAGCCGCATTTAAAAACCATGCGGTACTATAGCATTCGACATTTTATCGATCAAGAATGGTACCGTGTGAACGGGCTGTAGTCGTTTATGATAAAAAGAACAAGAGATGTGTTAAAAATTCTCGTATTTTCTAGAAATAGCTTCCAAAACAATCCAAAAGTGAGATTTATGGGTATATAAGTAGCAGTCAAGACGGGAAAAGTAACTTTTTGAATAGATAAATGGTGAAGACACACGAAATCGATAGTTAATCGTTATAAATTATTGTTGTGTCATTGTCGTGATATAATTAAGTATTGTAAAGCCCCATACTCACTAGGCGCCGATGCGTCAATTTGATTAGTCCATAGTGAGTATGTGGTTCGTCTATGCGATGCGTCGATGCGGTTCGTCGATGTGATTCGTTAGTTAGTTTGTAAATTCGTCCATTACGTTCGTGATATTTCTTTTTATGATTCGCCCAAAAACGACATTCCGTCAAACCGCAGAACAACTATCGCACTCTATCGCATCGATGTATTGGCGCGCCAAATCGGGGCTGACGATCCGCATCAATATATAGTGAGTATAGATCTTAGTAAAGATAGGAACTATCGAAAAAGACATCTTATTCAATAAAAAATATCTATACCTATGTGGCGGATTCATCTCTCCAAAAAAATCCTTTATGGGTATTTCGCCACTGCACTGCAAGAAAAATCTACAAAATAAAATAGTTATTTTTTGTAAACGCTTCTGCGTTAAACCTAAACGGACGCTGCTTGTCAGAAGTTATGTTTACAGTAATAAAAATTTGCCTAACAAAGAAAAAAATGCTTAACGTTTCGGAAAGTTATCTCTTTCCGTCGTCGGAAGCAAAAAAATACAAAGAATAAAGAAAAAAACTATTTAAAATATTTAAATTCAAACTATTCGAGAACACTTTACTTTTTTAAAACAGATACGTCTACAAGAAACCGTTGACATGCTTTTAATTTTAACTGTGTTCTTGTTAATTTTAACAAAACCTCAACGGTTTCTTGTAGACGTATCTGTTTTAAAAAAGTAAAGTGTTCTCGAATAGTTTGAATTTAAATATTTTAAATAGTTTTTTTCTTTATTCTTTGTATTTTTTTGCTTCCGACGACGGAAAGAGATAACTTTCCGAAACGTTAAGCATTTTTTTCTTTGTTAGGCAAATTTTTATTACTGTAAACATAACTTCTGACAAGCAGCGTCGTTTAGATTTAACGCAGAAGTGTTTACAAAAAATAACTATTTTATTTTGTAGATATTTCTTGCAATGCAGTGGCGAAATACCCATAAAGGATTTTTTTAGAGAGATCTTATTTGATAGTCAAGCAGCACTAAAAGCGATCAACTCAGTAACCATCAATTCGAAGTTGATCAAGGAATGCTTAGAGAAGCTGAACAAATTAGGTAACGAAAATAAAGTCCTCCTGCTTTAGGTGCCCACTCTCCAAGAAATAGAAGGCAATATAGAAGCAAGCAATCTAGCTAGAAAAGGAGCTAACACTCCACTAACTGAACCAGAACCGTTCTGCCTTCCAAGCGTAAACCAACAACTTAAAAAGGAACTTAAGAACCTGGAAGACTCCATCCGTAACCTTGAATGGGAATTCTCCAACGGTCTAAACCACGCGAAAATGTTTCTCAGAACTTACGACCGAGAAAAATCAAAGATTTTCTTTGATTTAAGTAAGAATCACAATCTTCGGATTGTAGGGAAAATGAGGAAACACGAGAACACCTTATTACTGAGTGCGCCGAGACGACAAATTGTTCGTGCCATAAACTTTGGTATGGCTGATGTCGGAGATGGAGAGCTGGCGTCTGTGGAGCCGTCTCAGATACTGGCTTTTGTCAAAGCCTTGACACTGTATTATGATTTATAACTTGTTATAACTCAAGAAAGGAGAACACACAATAGATTTGTAAGGTCACAATTATTAAACCCCCTCCTAGTCATTCTATATTCTACATGGGGTATAATTGTATTAAGATCATTATATAACTGTAGTTCTTGTGGTAAATTAGTTACTTGGTAGTTAATAAGGTTAAAGGTTAGGAAAAGAGATTATTACAATTATATATCAATGTATTATATTACAAGAATTAGTGATTTTATTTTTCGCTTTAAACTTCATAACTGTGTACGTAATTTATAATAAGATATAATTGTGTAAATTTTAACATACTGAATTTTTAAAATATACTTAAAATTACCCATTTTTAATTATATACTAACAAGTATTAACGTCGAAGTTCTTTTTTTAATTTGATAAAAAAAACAAATTCACAGGACGAAACAAATAAAATAGTAGCAGCTGTTAATGAAGGAACAGTACATTACTTGTGCTGTTGTGCTTAACTATTAGTTGTGCCATTAAGGATAAAGTATTTAGGCTTGTCCTGTGTCAGAATCATCTATTATTCAATACAAACCACGTAGAGACAATTGCAATTGTTTTGTGAAATTCCCTAAAGGAGGATTTACATTAGCGTTCTGGTCCCATTCAGTTAGTGTTCTATCTCGACAATTTATCCCCATTCCTAACAGGGTATTTGGATTAACGTGTTTCACGCTTGCTGAATCGTATTATTTCAATAGAAGGAGGCTATTAATAATATGAATGGTATTTATATATTTCAATAAATGTCAATATATTGAAATAGAGCAAACATTATTTATATCAGTATGGCGTTAATTGATAAGAAGACGCTTATATACAGGGTGATCCGAACTGTATTTCGGAAACTTCAGCAGCATATTCTGCAGATAAAAATAAGTATAAATATATGTCCTAAAATGCTTAGTTTCGGAGATACAGGGCGTAGAAGTTTTATTTTTATTTTTTCCAAATAATTTCTAAAGTAACATCAATATTTTAACAAAATTGGTGTCTGGGAGTTTTTTGACATGAGAAATTTGATTTTGATGACAATATGATTCCTACTTGTAGAGAGCGTCACCTACTAATTTTTTAACTGGTTTGAACAGTAATAACTTTTCGTCAGTACCTATAACTGTGTAAAAAATATTAATTTACGACGTTTTTTACGTAAAAAAAAATCTCTTGGTAAAAATCGCTACGAGTAATGGTTCTCGAGATATTTGGAATTGAAATTATGAATACCTGTCGTTCATTGACATAAATTAAACATGTTGACTAAGTCGTAATTAGACTGAAATCATACATTTGAAATGTTTTTTGGGCCAAAAGTTCAACAAAAACTTTTTTATCATTTTATCAATGAAAAAATTATGATTAATTTAAAAAAATAGAAAGTTCCCAAATTTATCATTTCAGTCAGATGACTATCTACTCCACATTGTTTATTTTTTGTCAATAATGACATGTATTGACTATTTCCATTCTAAATATCTTGAGAACGATTGCTTGTAGCGATTTTTACTAAGAGACATTTTTTACGTAGAAAAACACGGAAATGTATATTTTTTCACGC